AAGTGATCTCATTGGCTACTACACCACCATTAGCATGCGTAAGGCAACACAGGACGTGCGCCGCGATCTCTGATTCGGGAACAGATATCAGTGCGAAGGCCACCCAAGATGAATAACCTACTTATAAGCCTCTCTGAGGAATTCGCGTCAACCACTGCATCCAAGCAAACCCTAGCTATATGATGGCAATTCAGCCGAGCCAGATCGAGACTCTTATCGGCCTCCTCTGGAACAGGGCCTAAAGGGAATCGTCACGCGTCACAAAATTACCAACCCCTTACCCAGTCTGATGAGCTTGTTTCCAGTGAGTCTCACGCAGACATCCGCTATGTGAGTCTGCGCGCTGATCGATTGGGTCCTCCCCTTCTCCCCAAGGACGAGCGCTCGAGCCATAACATCACTGGCAACATCCTTACTGCATGCTATCACCTCTTCTTTATCTACCCGAAAAATGCACCTCCCAGGGATCGAACCCGGGCCATCCGCTTACCCGCATAAGCCTTCCACCCACTCCCATGTGCGCTGAACTTCTCCATGTCCAACGTGAATTCATCAGCTCGACGGACATCCTCCTCCTCCACAGGGTTACTCTCAGGATCACTACCAGCCTCTTCCGTTCCCTCTTCTGTTGGTGCAGCACGACTCATAGCAGGAGGCGACTCGGCCGACCCAACCTCGCTTAGAGGTGGCAACACCACGGGTGGTCGACGGGCTGACGGCTGGTGGGGCGTTGACATCGGCGCTAAAGCACATGAGTGTACATCTACTCTCAACACGTTAGAAATGCCGCCGCTGGGATTCGAACCCAGGACCTCGAGGAGGCTACCTCCACTGCTATCATCAGCAACCGCTCGGCTAGCTGGAACCTCCGGCGAGCTGGGTCTGCTGGTGGAACGCAGGAGAGTTCGATCCGGCTCCAAGACGTGAGTCAGAGCTTTTAATAAGGATGCTGCCGCCTTCGCTGGAATACATTCGATGACCTGATGTGGCGTTGAGGAAATGCAAGATTGCAAGAAAAACCTTCTCTCACCGAATCATCCCTCCACTTCGCGACAAATGAAGATGCGAATGTATACTGCAAAGAGGAGACCAGACCGACCGTACCTGCCATCAAAGCTGCTTCACTGCGCCACGAAATTACCTCTGAAAACTCACTGAAATCCAACAGAGGTTTCATCAACTCCTTTTGGTCCTCCCTAACATAACGACCCAGCGACTGCGTCGCCTGCTGAGCTCCGTCGTAATAGCCGCATTGTGTAG